TCCGCTGCCGAAAATATCATCTTCCTGGTTTGCCTTCGTGCAATCAGCTGGCGGGATTACGATCTACCGAGAAACAATTTTTATAGACAAATTCAATTATTTGCAGAGTCTAAACATGCACTAATCTCAGCGAGGCGCACTTATTTGATTTATAAACAACTGAAAATATTAATTTTCCTTCTTCGGCACTATTAATCAATATCATGACAGCAATTAAACCCCGCCACACTTAACGCACTAGAAATAACACAGAGAAAGAGTCGAAGGTCAACTGAATCTCTACATAAGGCCCAACCCTGTAAGAGACTTCACGCTTAAATGAATAGAAAAACAAACCTGTCTCGACAAATGCTTCAAGCGATTGCATATTTATCCATGCCCAAAATTATAAGTCTAAGCTTACAGTTTTTTCGTTGTGTAGTTTCCACAGAGTTGTCCAGCTATTCAACCTGGTAGGATCTTAGCCCACAAAGTGTCTGCATTCCGTGATTTGAACAGAGATTGAGTGATACATTTGATACTTGTCTATTCATATCGTGGAAGCCATTTTGAAAAGCAGATAAGGCTAGGCTCAATCTCCCACGGTCAATTTTGGCAATTCGCGGTTTCAGCCTCTTTGCGGTCAAACAGTTATGCGCCTGTCACTGGGGACAAGATCATAAGACAAGCCAAGACACCAACGATCTGATTTAGTGCGTCTAAAAGGAATCCAATATGCTTACTGGGACGAACTAAGGGCTTACATGGCCTAATAGTTCTCGACTGTCTTTATACGGAAGCATAAAACATCCGAGAAATAAAGTTCGTCTGGGGAGTAAAGCGCATTTTTCAGAATGTGGAGTACACACGTACAAAGCGCGCGCTAAAGGCGCGAGCCACCAGCGAGCCGTCAACCAGCGAATCTAATTAAACCAAAAAGAAATCTATATGTAAATATGTTTATTTTTTCTGAATTTCCGGACTTACGCACGTACGTACGTGTGTATATGCAGGCTACGCTCCTGTTCGTTATATAGACGGGTCATTGACTTCTTGAAGTTTTAATTTTCGAGTTAGAAGACGAGGTGAAACGACTTCTAACTGAAAGTCCGATGTTTATTTTTGAATTGCTTGCGTCCGGATTCCACTGATTGACTCCAGAAATAAACATTTCCTCATCGTGCGGGTTGACAAATCGCATATATCTCACCTTGAATGCGGAGGGGCACTCCCACGTGAAAAGTTTGCTGTTGCTTTGCTCGTGTTCTCCCTTTAGGGTGTAAATCATGGACTTGGGTCGCACTATTTTTATCTTTCAAGGTGTATTTTAGGGTTGCACTCGAGGCCGGACATAACAAACAAAGGATGTCAAGTCCATTTTAAAGTGGTGTCTTATCATATGCGGTCAAATAAAGCTCGCCCAGATTGGTGTCATCCTTGAGGGGTTTGATTCAATGTTGCGACGAGTTCCCC